TTTAATTTTTGATTTTTCCGAGATTAACACAACAAATCTAAATATTGACTAAACAGCAAACTAGTAAATTTTGCATATCTATTTCCCACAATAGAAGAAAAAGGAACCCCCATTGATGTAAACCTTTTTAGGTGACATTTACTCTTAACATTATTAATCTTGATCTTCTCAGTGTAACATGTATTCATCTTGAGAATTCTAGAATGAAGTTTTGCCACATTAAATGTCAAACCATCAAGTTTGTCAGAAGATACTGTCTCTTATTTCTTTTTCTTTTTTGATAAGGAACAAAAATCAATCGTGTGAGAGATTATCTTAAATAAATTATATGTATTAACATAAAGGATGTTTAGACTGTTACAAGAATAGAAAGTCCTTCCTAAGTCCCGCATTTTTACCTCATATATGAAGAAATCAAGGGAGACGAACAATAATTACCTTCTAATCACAGAGACACCACATAACCTCTTGCAAAAATCTACACCGCTGTATACAGATCCTGCACTCAACAGAGGTGGATTTATTTAAGCATATCTTTTCATGCTCATCGAAACAGGAGCTAACTTGGGATATCAAGAAGAGCAAAGTCCAAGAATAAACATGAGTAAAATCTTGAATAAGAAAATGACAATATTGGCTAATAGTCAATGCGGGTCTTGGTAAGCAAGAAGTTCACCACAATTTGCAATCATTTAGCTGACCTAAAAGATAACAGGTAAATACATCTCAACTAGACATCCAAACTGGAAAGAACTAGTTTTTATCCAAGTAAATTCATGAAACCCAAGTCGCCACCATAGATAATATGGATTGAAGTAGCTAAGCAACTGTGAAATTCGAAAACATTAATCAAGTGCAGAAAATTTACCAAAATAAAGGATTGAAACTTAACAAATTACCATGGTGTTGATACTACTAAACGGAGCATCAAGAAAACATGTTTGCTAAGCTGCTATGGTCAATAGTCTTTCAAATGATAAATCACATTCACAACAAAGTAGCATTATCGACTCTTCTCTATAAAAGGAATATCAAGCGGCAAAATATAGCATCAATTATCCCAAGAGAAGCTTTCATTTGATATTGCCCACACTCCACATGGTATCCGATGCATCTCCTATGATGTAGCTCGGATGCGATTATTTTGAGTTTTTGACATGTCAGTAGCGATGCACTCGTAATATGGATGACAGCATTTTCAACACAAGTAAAAAACATTGTGAGTCTACATTGAATCGGCCTTGTCCCTTCTAATTATGATTCCTCTGACACTTTGCAGTACCGATTGATATTTCAAACCATGGCTGCTGCTTACTTCTTAGAGGCTAGAGCATCTCAAATATGCCAACAGTTTTCCTGATAGATTATTTTTCAAAATAGTAACCCAGTCTCTGAGTCTCTCTTGAGTGAGTTATGGTAGGTAAAACTGATAAAGGAAAAAAGGATATACATGAAATAAAACAAAAGAGCTCTATTACAATGCTACGATGAATCAAAAAGCAACAATATAATCCGACAAATTAAAAACAATCACTTCTAAATGTTACGGAACCAGGAAAACATATCAGCTCACATTGAGTCGGAGCCAGGATTTGAAGGTTCCATCGCTCGTCTTAGTTACTGGGTTCACAATTAAATATTTGTTCATATTTAATGGATTTCCTAATACAAATACAGGGTCTAATCAAAAGCTATTGTGTTCGTCCCAATGTACCCAATACTCTAGGTCCGCCCCTGAGCTCACATACTATGGAAACCACAAATAGATTGATTGAAATACAATGACATAAATGAATATTTAAAATCAAATTCATATCTAATATTGCACTATGGGGCATAGCTGCTTACCAGTTGGAGTGATCACCTGTTTTTCTGTAAACGGCAGATGGCCTAGTCCATGTTCAACAACCTGGTACAGTGAGGAAGAACTTTGATAGATAAGGGGAAAGCTTTCACTTGTCGAAAAACTTGTTAACTTGATCACCGTGCAAGAAAGAAAAATTTACCAATCGAATCAATCTATCAGCATAGAACACAAAATCATGCTTTGTCGTCTGTGCATCACGGATAAGTGTATGCATGCCACGTATCTTAATGAAACAAATAATGATCTTAGAAGAAAATAAAAGGTCGATCTCAAAAAAAGGAAAAATGACTTCAAGATGAAGAGGCACAGATAATTGGCAAGATGAAGCTGAAACAAATGGGTGCTAAAAAATATCTATAATAACAAGATGAAAATGTTACCTGGAAAGTAGATTGAATAACGTATAAGTTAGGATATATTTTACAAAGATCATGTTGACC